TATAAAATAGTGTCAAAAGAATAACTAAAAAGAAATCCAGTTTACAAAATACAGTAAAATTACATCTTTAAACAGAATAAATTGTACTCTACTCCATAAAATTAATAGATACATAACACGTGCAAAACAGTGTATTATAATTACTGGGGCTGGTATTTCTTGTAGTGGTAGAATAACTGTAAGTAATTCATTTCTTGTAGAGTTGTTCATGGAGTGTTCCATTAACTCTATTTTAATAGTAAAACTCAAAAGTATTACTATTAAAATAGAGTCAACGTCGACTGAAATGGCAATTTAAAAAAAATTTTTTATAACTATTACCAATAGGATTTTAGAAGTTTAGATTGCCTTTATAGTAAGGTAAAACGCAAATATCTAGGTACCTTTCGTACGGGCAAAGATTTATTTGATGCTCGCTTACTTACAACCCATGGATCTATTAATGCATTTAATCATCTCATAGGTGTATTAAGAGAATGTATTTTAAATGCTACACCCACAGAAACTCATAAATTTATAAAAAAATTGGCGGATATGGAAAAATTAAAAAGAGTATATACACAAAATATAGATAATCTTGAGGAACTAGTAAGATTATACGTAGATTGGCAATTTGAAAAAGTTAAAAATAATAAAGCTCAAGTAGTTCAATTACATGGAACTCTTGCAAAATTATGATGTAATGTTTGCACAAATATTTATGATTTTACGCTGCAATTTTGTGATATTTTCAAGCAAGATAAAGTGCCAAAATGCACTAAATATGAAGAAAGAGGTAAGTACATAATTTTTTTATCAATTATATTTTAAGTTTTAGTAGATTTAATGGTTAATTATTTTTTTTTTACATCAATAAATAGAAAATGTTTGGATCAAACAAGAAAAGTATCCTAATACAATTGGACAGCTAAACCCGACAATAGTCCTGTACGGTGATTCATATCCTAAAGGATTGAAAATTAATCAAATCACAGTACAAAATCAGCATAAAGCTGATTGTTTGATTATAATTGGTCTTCTTTAAAAATTCCTGGAGTTAAAGCTCTTATAAAAGACTTTGCTAGAGCGGTTTATGACTGTAATGGTTATGTGATACTGGTAAATGCTACAGATATAGTTACTAAAGAATGGAATAGCTTAATTGACTTTTAAATAGAAGGTGATTGCGATGAGTGGGTTAAACTTGTCAACATAGAATTATCAAACGTCAAAAAAATGACAACTACAAGATTATCAAAAAATCAATTGAAAAAAACAAATAAAGAAATCAAAGTGGGGAAAAAAAGAAAGAGTGAAAGGAATAGGACAGACTTACTAAAAAAAAAAGAAACACTAATAATTCTTCAGTATAAAATTTACAAAATTTAAGATAGAAATAGTTCACATGACATCAGACAAACCAAATGAAGCTAGAAATAAAATTTTTAATTTGGTTAATTCAATAATATGCATATAAAGAATTATTCTACGATTAAAGAAAGTAAATAAAGAATTATTCCACGATCATAACATTTCAAAATAATGCCTCATAGTGTAGTTTAATATTTTGGCCTACATAAGGCCCTACATAAAGCCCTACATTAAAGCTTAATTTGGCATAAATTATGTTTAATGTAGGTGGTTAACTTAGAAAAATATAAACACTGGTAAACTAATTTAACGCATTAAGTTGGCATTTGACATGAATTGTGATCAATAGTCACATCAATTATATTCTATTACTCATTTCATTCTTCTACGGTATCAAGATGCCGTCAGAGAATGAACGGAGTTTTTAATGAATTGTATTATTTTCGTGACTTTTATTTTTAATGCTCGTCAATGACCTAAATTAACTAACTTTTCTAAAGAATTCTGATAAAGAAGTCCCAAATTCCAAACTCTGAAAAGCATTAATGGTCGTAAAATAGCTGTCTTTATTCAGAAAGAAACAATCCTCTATTTTATCTTTTTTCATCGAAATTTTGAAGTCACAAGTTCAGATAATTTCGTAGAATAATAAAAAAATAAAAAGTTCTACATAGAATTGCATGCATATTTTTAGAAATAGCCCACTTATATTAATGCGGGCCAGAAGATATATTAATGCAGGCCAGATGATATATTAATGCAGACCAGATGATATATGTTAATGCAGGCCAGATTATATGCTAATACAAGCCAAATAATCTCATTAAAAATCCTGCGTGGGATCCAAAAAAAAATCTGCGCATCTCGCGCGTGGCCCATTACTACTTTTAACACATCAAGAAATCTTGGAAATAGTATAAATAATGTTGGGTTTTAAAGGGGCCTTTGGGATTCTCTACTTTAAATTTTAAAAATTATAATAAACTCGAAGATTAAAAATCTTTAATTAAAGGAAAAAAATATTTTACTGTACTGTTAAGATAAGATTTCGAGAATTTACAATTTGTGTATACAAAAATGATATAATATGAATATCTCTGTGATATGCAAATTTAACGTTGAAAAAAAATTTTTGTAGTATTTGTTTTTTTATTTGCTGTGCTAACCTAAGGAATCCTCTACAAATACTGACCTTTTTTATTTCTAAGAATATTTTGAATTAAAGAGTTACGTTTTGGGTTCAGATAATTTAGGTCTGTGATTGATAAACCATATTTTGGATTAAGATATTTTTTTAATGTTGGTTTTTTTATTAAGACGTGTAAATTTACAATAAACTCGCAAGAGGTTAAAATTCTTAAATAAAAGCAGTATTTTATTTATTAATTTCCTTAGTGAATAAACACAAAATTGTGGTAGGCGAAAAAAAATTTTATATTAAAGAATTTACAAACTAAAATTTGTAATATATATATATAATGGATTAAATCATGTTAAATTAGTAACACCTCTAGCAAAGTTTCCAGAAACAAAAAATTATCCATATCACATAATCATGTAATGTATTAACCCTGCTACCGCAACAAAATTGTCATCAAATTCACGGTTTTGATTGGCTAATGGCTGTGGATCTGCAAACTTTTGGCCCGCATTACATAATTATTTACTAATTTCTGGCCAGAATTAACTTTTTAAGTTTTTCATCCCAAAAATAAAAATTTTCAAAAAAACAGGCCCATCCTTAGCCAATCAAAACTGAGAAATTGCAGGACAATTTTTGTTGCGGCAGCAAGAGTTAATACATTACGAGATTACATAATACAGATAATTCTTTGTCCCTGAAAACTTTGCCGAAAGTATTACTTATTCCATATTTAATCTGATAAAATTAAAAACATTCTAAAAGCCATATTGAATTATGAATTCTGAAATTAACTGCTAATGTATAAAATTATCGAGATTTTCAATTTTCGATTCAATAATTTCAACGTTACTGTTATTTTTAAAGAATTGGTGACATAAGGGAACGATGGATATTCTGGCGCACCTAAGCTGCGTCACTAATTAAAAGTTTATGAATTAATATTTATTTCTAAAATTTATTTAACTAACTAATTTTATACTTGGCTATCTGATATTGAAAAAAAAAGAGGGTATTATTACTAAAAAAAAAATTGTTTATTGCGACTTTTTTAAAAGCAATTTTTTAATCGTTATTTTATTAGATGGGGTATTTCGGTATATTACAAATATAGTAATATCTATATATTGTATAAACTTTATAATTGGCTAAGTTTAATAATACAAATAATAAATTACTAAATGAAGCAGATTCTTAAGGGGTGCTGGGCGTGTCGAATATACTTTAGTTAATTCTTAGAATTTTTTTATTAACGTTGCTTGAATCTTGTGCCCAAGAGTTTCCAAGAGTTTTAATTAAAGTGATTTTTATACCATTCGATTCGTCTCAATAAGACAAATCGAATGGTACTAAAATTATTCTATTCGGATCAGTAAATCGCAAGATATCATTGAAAAACATAAGTGCGCCACAATACCCTCCCGCGCCAGAATATCTATCATTCCCTTATATCAGCTAATTATGGATCGATTGTCAATTTATGTAAAGTCTTTCTATTTCCAAATCGGCCAAAATTATTCTTTTCTCCATTTATATTTTCTATGAGTCATATATTCATTTCTTTCAGTTTAGCATATAGTTGGAGAGAATTGTTATACACTGGTTAAAATCAAAAATATAA